TTAGGCCTGAAAATATTGAAGATTGAAGATTTCATTCAGGTCGTGACTCGTGGTGACCTGTGGGTGGATACGGGGAGAGATTAGCTGATCGGGGTGAAAATCGGGTCTGATTGAGTTGGGGCGATCAGCTGATTGCCGCCGATTGCTTGAAACTGGCTTCCCGGCTTCCTGGAAATTGTTAATCGCGTGTGATCAAGGCGATCAAACTGGATTGGGCCCACGTCCTTACAGTACAGCGTGGAAGCCCCAAAGTCGCTTTTATTTCGCTTATTAGAGATTCTTCTACATGGTATGTAGCAGTATTTATTATCCAGTCTGGAAGACTTTACCCACGAGTGTATAAAAAAGAACATATTTATTTATAAATTCTCCCATACAGTCGTTTCAGTAAAACATGCTTATTCGACCCGGAGTCGTATCCGGGAATTATGGAATGTGGTTCACGCTCACACTGAACGACACCCTCTTGGTCGCAATCTGAATAAACCGCCCCTTGAGAAACTCGTATGTATGCTTGGATGTAGTCCCATGCCCATGCCCATGCCCGTGCCCATGCCCATGCCCATGCTGGTGTTGGTCGGATTGAGTATCACGCGTTGACTGGCCTTCATAACACATGCCACCAAGCGTGCCACCATGCCTGCCACCATGCCTGCCACCATGCGTGCCACCATGCGTGCCACCATGCATGCCACCATGCGTGCCACCAAGCGTGCCACCATGCGTGCCACCATGCATGCCACCATGCATGCCACCATGCGTGCCACCATGCGTGCCACCATGCGTGCCACCATGCATGCCACCATGCGTGCCACCATGCGTGCCACCATGCATGCCACCATGCATGCCACCATGCGTGCCACCATGCATGCCACCATGCATGCCACCATGCATGCCACCATGCGTGCCACCATGCGTGCCACCATGCATGCCACCATGCGTGCCACCATGCGTGCCACCATGCATGCCACCATGCATGCCACCATGCGTGCCACCATGCATGCCACCATGCATGCCACCATGCATGCCACCATGCGTGCCACCATGCGTGCCACCATGCATGCCACCATGCGTGCCACCATGCGTGCCACCATGCGTGCCACCATGCGTGCCACCATGCATGCCACCATGCGTGCCACCATGCGTGCCACCATGCGTGCCACCATGCGTGCCACCATGCGTGCCACCATGCGTGCCACCATGCGTGCCACCATCCACAGCCATGGCACCATGCCCCTTCTCCTCCGGCCCAGCAGAAGCTCCCAGGAAGGGGTACGAAATTGCGGCTGCTTCCCAGGGGCAGCGTGGCTGGCACCCCTCCCTCCTCACACCCTCCCCTCCGCCACATTCCTCTCCCTCACACTCTCCTTCACACTCATATCCCTCAAACTCCTCTCCGTCCGAATCTCCTGGTCCCATCTCCCCCCTCACCTCAAGCACTCTACACTCACTCACTCGCGCTCTGCCGGTTGTGCTAGCAACACCAGCAGGTTCCCCAGTCCTCGCACCAGCACCCACCCTCTCTTTGGGAGTGGCACTAGTGCTGTCACTGTCGGTGGAATACCAGGGGAACCCGCTGCTGATGCTGCTCGCGATGCTGCTGATACTGAAGCTGGCACTCCTCCTTCGCACCCCGCTCTTCCTTCTCTGCTGCTCCTCCTTCCCACTCACTTCTTTCCCTCCCACATCCACACTGCCCTCCCTCTGCTCCTGCACCTTTGTCGGCTGCCGATTCGCTGGTGCCTGTTCGTCCTTCCAAATGTCATGCATGGAGCAAGAGCTTTCTTGAGGCGCCTTAGGAGCTGCCTCACCACCCCTCCCTCTGCCATCAGTGCAGCTAGAGCCTTTCCCAGGTGTCTCAGTAACTTCCTCACTGCCCTTCCCTCTGCCATTCGCGCTGCTAGAGCTTCTCTGTAGCTGTCTGCTCCATTTGCCACCAACCCTTTCACCGATGCTGCCACTGATGCTGCTGCTGATGCTGGTTCGGATGCTGCTCCTGATGCTGCTGGTCAGGGATATGCTCCTCCTCATGACCGCGCTGCTGCTGCTACCCCGGTTGCGGCTCACATGCATGCTACCTTGAGGGTTCCTCTCATGCTTCTTTTCCTCCTTTGCTTCCTTCCTCTCCTCCTTCATCTCTTTTCTCGCTTCCGTTCTCGTATCCTTTCTCCTCTCCTTCATTTCCTCCTTCCTCTCCTTCCTCTCCTCCTTTTTCCCCGTGTCCCGCAGGGGAGCAATAGGATTGGGAGCAACAGTTAAGTCAGCAACATGAAGGGGAGCGATGGCCGCGGGGGCAGCACGAGGGGGAGCGGGACGGTTGCGCGCAGCACGAGAGCTGAGAGGTCTGGGGATGGCAAGGGCAGCAGGGCGGCCGCTCCTCAACTGCTTGCTGTTACCCTGCTGGCTGCTGCTGCTGCTGCCGCTGCTGCTGTTGCCGCTGCTGCCGCCGCAGCTGCTGCTCAGCTGACTGTTGCCCCTCTGCTGGTTGCCGTTACTCTGCTGGTTGCTGCTGCTCAGCTGGTGGCTCTTCCACTGGTTGCTGCTGCCACGGCTGCGCACCACAGCGCCATACAGCCCGATAAAATCATCGTCTGAGTTGTTACCATCATCTCCTTCCTCTTGGATTTCTGCCACATTCGCACCTTCTGTCCCCTTCCCACCGTCCACCACCTCAACACAATCCATTTGGTCCTTTAGGTGCCCTTGCTGCTTTTTCTTCTGCTGCTGCTGCTGCTGCTGCTGGTGATGATGCATTGGGCCAACAGAACCATAGAGACCCAAGGCATGGTCGTCTGTGTCGTTGCCTGCATCTTCTTCCCGATCCGCCAGCTCCTTCCGGCAACCACGGGGCAGCACAGGAGCTGGGGAATGGGTCTGCTGCTGCTGCTGCTGCTGCTGTTGCTGCTGCTGGGGTTGGTTTTGGTAATAATTTCGGTGCTGCTGTCGATCTTGCTGCTGCTTAAGCTGCTGATCCGGAGCACCAAAACTATATAGATTCTGAGTGCTGCAGGAGCCAGCATCCGCGTTATAGAGCTCCAAGTGGAATCTCCTGCTGCCCCACCTGCGCGACCACCCAGGCTCAGACGCCGGAGAGGGAGCAGCAGAAACCTCAGAGGAAGCGGAGAGAGGCGAGCAGGGCGCATAGGAGGAGCGCAGGGAGAGAGAGCCCACGCGTGTGTGGGGCGGTTGTGTTGAGAATGGGGAGAGGGCGGAGTGGGCTGATAGGGGGGAGTTTTGCGCCGACTCAAGGCGGCCGTCGGATCGCACGGAGAGAGAGCCAGCGCGCGTGTGGCGTGGGTGGGATGAGTGGGGGGAGAAGGGGGAGAGGGCGGAGTGTGCTGATAGGGGGGAGTTTTGCGCCGACTCAAGGCGGCCATCGGATCGCACGGAGAGAGAGCCAGCGCGCGTGTGGCGTGGGTGGGATGAGTGGGGGGAGAAGGGGGAGAGGGCGGAGTGTGCTGAGGCGGGGGAGTGGAGGGAACGAGAAGGGGACTGGGCGGAGTGGGCGGAGATGGGGGACTGGGCGGAAGGGGCGGAGTGGGTCCAGAAGGGGGAGGATGGGGGGGAAGGCATGCTCCTGCAGCCAGCGATGGAGGGAGGGAAGCGGAAGTTGTCTGAGGGGTGAAATTGGTAGCCGTTGGAGGTGCTTCTGGCAGGGAGGTGCTTCTCTGGCCTACCACGTGGAGAAGCCGTGCTGACAGTTGATGGGGCCGGCAGGAGGGTGTTATCACCAATGCCATGTGATGCGGCAGATGAACACCGCCGCTGGTGCTGCTGTTGCAGCCGCTGGTGCTGCTTCTGCTGGTCATGCTGCTGCTGGTGTGCTGCTCTCCCTGAGGTGGTGAGTGAGGTGGATAACACAGATGATGATGAAGACGAGGAGAGCGATACACGTGCTGCTCCTGTTGCTGTCAGTGCTCCTGCTGCTGCTGAAGCTGATGCACGTGCTGCCTGTTGGCCAATCATCTGCATGCGAGTATGATGCACCACCTGACGCGCCGCTCCAATCGGCCATCTCCCGCCCAGCAAATGCTGCGACCCGCTTGAATCTTCACCAGAAGTCCTACCTGACTTTCCACCTGAATTTCCACCTAAATTCCCAACAGAAGCTGCTCCTGAATTTTCACCTGAAAGTTTTTCAAATGCCCCACCTGCAATTTCACCTGAAGTTCCATCCGACGCACGTTCAGCTGTTCCTTGCACCATATCTGCTGTAATCTTGCCAGCAACCTTCTCTGAATGTGCTATACCACTGAGGCCCACACCACCAGAACTTCTGTTACCAGAGTACCCTACAGCACTCGCGGCGACATTTCGTGCTGTAGTGGTAATAGCAATAGCTCGTGCGGATTTATGTGCTGGGCTGGAGCTTGCTGGTACCTTTCCCTGTTTTCTGCCACTCAGGGAACGACTGGAAGGACTGCTTTTGGTGCTGAGCTGCGGGCTGCTGCGGTTGCTGTAGCGGCCGCTGGGGTGTTGGGGGCTGCTGAGATTGCAACGGGGGCTGTTGTGATTGAACCGGGGGCTGTTGTTGCTCTCAGCGCCAGCCCAAGCAGCAGCTGGAGCAGTGAAGGCATACCCCGTTATAGTGGACCCGACATTGATACTAGGCGGTGTCTTCTGGGCAGAGCCGAACTGTTGGCTGAAAGTGCGACGCGGGGTAATGTGGGCGTGTTCTGACGTAACGTCCTTGCTGACGCACCTCCTACTGCTGTTACCTCCGTTGCTGACGCTGCTGCTGACGCCGACGCAAGTAGCAACGCTGCTGACGCAGCGGCGGTGGGAAGGGGGGTTATGTTTCGCGGACACTGACGTTGCCGCTGCCGCTGCTGACGCCGCCGCTGCCGCTGCTGACGCCGGCGCTGTCGCTGCTGACGCTGCCGCTGTCGCTGCTGACGCCGCAGCTGCGGCCGAAGGGGGTGTGCTTGGTGTTGGCCGCGGGGGTCGGGTCGGAAACGACGCGGAAGATTCGTCTGCTGCTTCTTTGCGATAGGAATAGCGGGGGAAGAGCTCCAAAACATCGACTGGCATAACACTGCCAGTAATAGTAATAGCTCTGGTAGTAGCCGTTAACGGCATGACGGTAGCAGAAGCTCCAGAAGAGAACGGCACGGCAGTAGTAATAGTGCTGGAGCTACGGTGACGACGATGAAACGACTTCTTGGGCGATTCGGAATCGAGCGACGTAAAGCGGCTCGAGACGGGCGACCGTTGGAGCATGCTGACGGAATCGGTGGGTAATTGGAGCTCCCAAGGGTTTGAGAATGTCATTCTGAGAGCCACGAGCTTTGTGTCAGAACGTCGCGTCACGGGCTTATTACGAAATACACTTACGGAGACACGAGGCCGCAGCTGCTAGTGGTAGTAGGGCAGGTTCTCCCGACTGACCCGTACGCATATCATATTATTAGTCGTACTTTTCACTGGGAACAGTTTTTACTCCGACGGGGCGTCGAAGGGCGCAGCCGCGAAAGTAAGTATGTCCTGTGGAGCTAGATAATCTCGAAATACGATTAGCACAGATGATTCCCGCATTCGGCGCTTCGACGGGGGAATCATCCGTGATAACCTCATCCAGTGGCAAACCAATCAGGAGGACACTTAGGATGGCCTGCGTACTTCCGTCGCCCACTGCCGCTGACTTTCCACTTCTCGCATGTGGGTTTGATGTGTACGGAGGCGGTGAACAGACGCGCCGCTGCAGCCATCGCAACAGTCCCGCCCGAGAGTCCCCGAGATGTTCACGCGGGAATCTCTGTTTGCCAAACAGTCCGACCCGTTCACTTCGGTCAGCCCACGAGGCTCGGAAAATCCGGCAGATTACACTCTCGCTCGTTTACATTGGCGAATAATGAACGGACGAGATCTGAGCAAAATGATCGGCTACCACTTCGCGTTTCGCGGAAATAGTCACACAAGGAGATTGTATTATGCTAGAGGTGAAGGCCCCGTGCAGTGGGGAGTACGACTATGGCAGTCGGTCGTGTAGCACCTAGGGGCAAGAGCAGGATTCAGGGACCAGGAGTATTTACAGGCACGCTGCTTAGTCTACCAACCACCCAGTTTTGACATCCCGCCCAGCTCTAGGACAAGCACTAGCAGGAGAGCCTGTGGATTTGCTTGCCTTGTGATTGTGAACAGTTGGCGCCACCTGTTGTACGAACTGTACCTTCTGGCAAAATCTGTGTTTCACTGGCGTTGAGATCATGTCATTTGTGTATTCTCGGGATTGTCGAACAAGGGGAGGAGAGCTCCATCTTCCATTCAAGGGTGCACATGAGGGTGGCACACTGATGCCATCCAGCAGGTCGGGTTGCAAAACTCTTCAGGAAGGTCGAACCTCGCTCAGATTATGTTCAGCAGAAGCAGTTGAATACGTTGTTGCACAATCTACAGCGGTTTGATCACCATTTTGGCCCGTCACATACACGATCACCATTTCGGCCCCGTCACAAACACGATCAACCCTGGGTGATTGCAGGTTGACTATTGTTACGATTGCAATTGAGTGAGCGAGCGAGGATTGCACTATCGAGACAAGAAATACAATGAGCGAAAGGTTGAGCGAAAAATATATAGCGAAGATACGGTGGTAACGGTAACGTGGGAAATTGGGGTGCGCGACGGACCTGGTGCCGAGGTTGGGAACTGTCGAGGCGGAGGTCCGGAGCGCGGGTTACCAACCGAACCGTGAGGTTGGGTCACATCGTGAACAGTGGCGGGAATGGTGTCGAGGCGAGTGTCGCGAGTGGTAACGGAATGTTGTGGGGTGCTGTTGGCGGGAACAGTGGTATATGCGCTGGGCAGGGACGCGAAGTAAGGAAAAGTGATTTTCCTTACACTACCCCCCCCCCCCCAAAAGGAGGCCTCTCTTACGAGAGCGCGTGTATATCTCGGAAATTCCGGCAGCGCAGGTACTCGGTGAGGACGGAGTGGTTTTCGATGTTGCCCAGGGGGACCCAACTGTCCTCGGTGGGCGTGCGGTCTCTCCAGCGGATCAGAAATACGACCCCTCGTGCTCCTCGTGGGTCGCGAACTCGGTAGCTCAGAATCTTCTCGGGCGTGATGACTAGTTCTGTCTGTGGTCGTGTCATGCTAGCTGGGCGATTTCGGGCTAGTTGGCTGGTGGATGGAATGTAGGGGCGAAGCAGGCTGACGTACCAGTCAGCGGGGAGGAGGAGGTGGGCGGTGATAGGCGTGATCATGTGGCTGATGCGAAATGGCCCACAATATCGGGGGCGGAGTTTCGGGGTTATGGGCAGGTGGAGGTTTTGGGTGTCGAGTAGGACTAAGTCGTCGGGTTGGTAAGTGACGGGTCTGCGGTGGCGGTCGGCGTTGCGCTTAGCGTTGACGTTGGCTTTTTTTATTGCTTCTGCTGCCCTGGTTCGTGCTACCTGTAATATTTCTGCGAATTGTTGCGCACGTGGTACTGGGTTGTCGGGATTCGAGGTCATGGGTACTGTCGCGTCTTGTCCGTAGTTCAGGTAAAATGGTGTCTGCTGGGTCGTGGCGGATGGTGAGTTGTACGCGAATTCGATAAGTGGCAGTTGCTGTTCCCAGGTGGTGGGGTCGTCGCACGTGGCTCGGATTAATTGTTCCATGGTCTGGTTTGTCCGTTCTGTCTATACGAAGAACTGAACTGTAGTCTCGTGCCGAACTGCTGCCACAGGTTCCGCCAGAAATTGCTGGTGAATTTTGTATCACGATCGCTGATGATTGCTGCTGGTATCCCGTGTAATCGAACAATGGTTGCGATGAAGAGGCGAGCCGTTTCCTCGGCTGTGATTGATTTCTTGCAGGCTGCGAAGTGTGCCATTTTCGTCAATCGATCGACGACGACCAGGATCGCGTCATTCCCACTTGCACCCGCCGGTAACCCCGTGACGAAGTCCATCGTCACCTGCTGCCAAGCACGCTCTGGGGGTGGTATCGACTGCAATTGTCTTGCCGGCCGCTTCCGTTATGATTTCATGACTTGGTAGGTGGGACACGATGCCACGTGTCGTTGCACGTCGGTCAACATTTCGGGCCAGTAGTAGTACCGCTGCAGCTGCTGCCGTGTTTTTTCTACTCCGAAATGTCCTGAGGTGACTCCGTCGTGTGCCTCCTGCAACAGTAATTCCCGTAGAAGTGTGTAGCCCGGTACCCAGATGCGATCGGTGTCGGCTTTTACGTAATAGACTCCCCTTGCTACTGCAAGCTGCTGCGAGTTTCTGCCTGTAAAAAATGGGTCAGTCTGATAGCCGTGGGTAAATAGACCTGTTAACAGTGGACTGGTCTGGGCGAGTAGTATGGCGTGAATTTGGGCTGTGGGTCGGGTTAATGCGTCGGCGATGTTCGATGCCCCTTTTTTGTAGGTGACCGTATAGTGAAAATTCGACTCAAGATAGTCGAGCCAGCGGATTTGTCGTGGGTTGAGGTGGGGTTGCGCGCGGAGGTACTGTAGAGATTTGTGATCTGTCCACACTGTCACGTCGGTGCCGGTCAAGTAACAGCGCCACACTTTGAACGCATGCACAATCGCAAGCATTTCGCGATCGTGTATCGGGTAATTCTTCTCGGGTGGATGCAACTTTCGTGATTCGTATGCGATGGGCTGTAAACCATTGCCGAAGTCCTGTAGCAGTACGGCTCCAATGGCGATGTCGCTGGCGTCGGTAACCACTTCGAATGGGCGGTGTTGGTCGGCGATGCGCAGTACGGGCGGTGAACAGAGAACATTTTTCAGGGTAGAGAAGGTAGCATGCTCTTTCTCCCCCCACGTAAAAGTGACCCCCTTCCGCAGTAAATCCGTTAGTGGGGCAGTTAAGCGTGCCATGTCGGGGACGAACCGGCGCACGTAATTGACGAACCCTAAAAAACTTTGCAGCTCCGTGATGTTCGTGGGTGGGTGCCATGCTTTTACCGTGTCCAGTTTCTTTGGGTCGATTTCGACACCAGCCTCGGAAATAACGTGCCCTAAAAACTCTAGCCTATCCTAAAAAAACTCGCACTTGGAACCCTTGGTCAGTAGTCTGTGTTTGTCTAAAACTGTAAATACTGCTTCTAAATCGGCTAAGTGTTTCTGCTTATCCCGACTGTAGACTAGGATGTCGTCGAGGTAGATGATCACACATTTATCTAAGAGTGGTCTAAACGCCTCGTTCATGGTCATCTGGAAAGTCGCCGGTGCGTTGGTCAGCCCGAAAGGCATCACTGTGTACTCGAATGATCCGTGCCTAGTCCTAAATGTTGTCTTAACACAGTCCGACGGTTCGACCCTAATCTGATGGTAACCTCCCCGTAAATCATTTTTCGAAAAGACTCGTGCTGTTCGCAGTTGATCTATCAGTTCGTCGGCGCGGGGGATGGGGTATCGCGATTTGACTGTAACCCTGTTCAGTGCTCTGTAGTCGATGCACATGCGAAATCCTCCGTCTTTGTTCGGTGTGAACAGGATCGGTGCGGCGAATGGGGACGAGCTCGGTCGGATGAATTTTTTTATCTAATAGGTAATCTAGCTGCTTCCTTATCTCGTCGAGCTCGGGCTGTGTCAGTCTGAACTGTCGCTGTACGGTTGGTTGTGCCCCGGGTTCTAGTTCTATTCGGTGATCGTGCGCCCGCTGAGGTGGCAGTCCCTCTGGTAAGTCATCGGGGAAGATCCCCGGGAATCGTTTCAACAATTCCTGTAGCTCCGATGGGACTGCCGACAGTAGTTTCTGAAAATCACTCGTTTTGTCTGCTTCTTCTACTATCGCGATATCCACCGCGTACACGTCAGCTCCTGCGGCGACAACCCGTTTCATTGTGATGGCGTTGACGTGGACCGTTGAAGACTCAGGCGACTGCCAGCGAGGTAGTTCGACCCAGTTACCGCTACTTCTCACAGTACAGCTACCCGTCGTCCAGTCGATTCGCGGGTTATACCGTCGCAGCCAATCACGTCCCAGTAAAATGTCGTGCCCATCCAATGTCGTCGCGAACATTTCCTGTGTAAACCCGAAGTTTCCCCCACAGCGGACTTTTACTCTCTCCACTTTTTCCCGTATGGCCAGCGGCGTTCCGTCAACTAAACGTGCATCGATCTCCGGTAAACACCGACTAAGTGCCGGTTGCAGTTTCCTTGCAGTCGCGGTGTTAACTAAACTGTAACTTGCGCCTCCGTCTATAAAAATCTTCACTGCTGCTCCCTGTATTTTCCCGTGAATCAGTACTGGGCAATCCGTCGCTGTACCCTCCTTATTCGTCCGAGCCCGATCGATAGCGTGAATCGGTACTATGACTCGGTGAGGGTCGGTGAAGTTGGGCGAGCAGGCAGTCTCGTCAGTAGTTGGCCCAACTTCTACTGACTGCTGGCGTTTCCCGGCCTCTGAGACTCTCGCCCTTGCTCTGTTCCGCGGCGCCTCAGCTCCTCTGGGCATTCACTCTTGCGATGGCCCGGCCTATTGCAAGCAAAGCAGCGCCCCTTAAATGGTGCGGCAGCTGCATTTGTCGCAACGGCGTGTACGGTGGCGTGCTCGATTGGTCCCCGAGGACGTTGTCTGTAGTAGGACCCCGGTCTCGGTCGCCGTAGGATGTCGATTTTCTCGGCAAGCGCGAGAATCTCGTTGAAGTTCGAGAGTCCGCGAAGCATAATTTCGTGCGAGATATCCGGCTTTAGCCCTCCGACGTAACGGTCCACCCGCTCCGCTTCGTGCATATAGCCGACTTGCTCGCATAATGCGAGAAATCCACTCGTGTTGTCCTGAACGATCCGAGCTGCCGCCAAGTGCGCAACTTCTGACGTGCTGAAATCGAAGCCGCGATCGGCTCGAAACGCGCCCGAAGCCCTGCGCACCGCGCATCCCACATGATGTACTGGGCTGTCTCGTAGAACGAACTCCAGGTGACGGCTGGGCCCGTGGGCCCGTCTTCTTGCGACGGTGGCTCGTAGGCGCGTGGCGACGTCACGATGACTCGCCTAGCGTAGCGAATCTTCGCTGCGTCCGACTCGACGTAATTCGCGTCGAAGAATACGTTCATCGTGAAGACCCACAACTGAACCGTCGGACCCCCACTTTGACTTGGGTCGAAACAAGGCGGTCGCTGCGGCTTGAGTGGCATTGGCGCCGTGATGGCGTACTCGCCACTTGTCGCAGCAAATTCCACGTGCCGATGGGCTTCGCGGGGCTCCCGTGGGCTTGGTGTGACTCTGTTTCGCTCCATGCCAGGCATTGAGTGAGCGGCGCCCTCACTGGCTACGCCTGAGCGCTGTCCCACGCTGTCGTTCTGTGTCGGTGTGCCGGAGGAGATAGCAATCGGTTCCTCCGAATGTGCAGGTGCATTTGTTGGCGCTGGTGCGTTCACTGTCGATTGTTGACGAACGGAGTCGCGTTCCGCCGTGAGTGTGGCGATTTCAAGCGCCGATTCTTCGAGTTGGCGCATGAGCCGGTCTAGTTGCTCCTGTGTCAGTGCCGCGACATTAAGTTCTGCCATGGCGGGGGTGTCGGGCAAGCTCAGCGAGAGCCTCCGTCGTGGCCGTGCGTGCTTACGAGAGAGCACTACGAGCGGCGGTGCTTGGTCGCTGAGGGACGTCTACCCCCCCCAAAAGATTGAGATAGTGGGAAGCGAAGGTGTGGGTGCGGTCCGAGAGAATATCGTAGGCTCTGATAACCAAGTGTTACGAGTGCAATTGAGTGAGCGAGCGAGGATTGCACTATCGAGACAAGAAATACAATGAGCGAAAGGTTGAGCGAAGAATATATAGCGAAGCTACGGTGGTAACGGTAACGTGGGAAATTGGGGTGCGCGACGGGCGTGGTGCCGAGGTTGGGAACTGTCGAGGCGGAGGTCCGGAGCGCGGGTTACCAACCGAACCGTGAGGTTGGGTCGCATCGTGAACAATGGCGGGAATGGTGTCGAGGCGAGTGTCGCGAGTGGTAACGGAATGCTGTGGGGTGCTGTTGGCGGGAACAGTGGTGTACGCGCTGGGCAGGGATGCGAAGTAAGGAAAAGTGATTTTCCTTACAACTATCAGAGTCATACAACAAGATTTACAGCTTGTGGATCTCCATATTTTCATGAAATTCACACTTTATTGCTTCCCTCAAACCAATCACACTTGCAATAACACCAATAGCAAAACTTGCTACAAGTTTCACCAGAAAAAAGCCAGGAAAACAAACCTTAAACCAACTCCGAGCTACAAAATGCTCTGGAAAACCCGCACTGAAACACGAGCTGGATGGTTATGCAATGTGCTCCACCTCTCCCTTGAACGTTACTTTCTTTCCCAGCTGCCTCAATAACCTGCGCGGCTGCTTCAACGCCCATCTGCTCGGGTGCTGGTGCTCACCCCCTTGACCATGCCTGAGCCCGTGTCCATGCTTACGTATATGGGGAGCCTCTTCCCCATGACTGTGCCTTATACCCTGCTCTTGCTCATGCTTAGCCTGACGCGTACCCAGGCGCTGATGAGCACCATGACCTTGCCTACTGGCATTGCCACCCGTCCTTGAGCCATCCTTCGACCCCGTTGACCCCTCTGACCCCTTTGAACCCTCTGACCCCTTTGACCCCTTCAACTCCATTGACTGACCCCCGGGTTTCTCCCCCTTGAACTCGGAGGCCCCTTGGGCACCGTATGCCAGCCCTTCTGCTTCCCACGGGTTGCGCGGCCCATGAGGCTGCTGAGGCTGTTGAGGTTGCTGCCACACTGCCCCCAAGCTCTGGGACCTTGTGTGCTTAGGAGGCCGAGACTCTGACGATAATGCGCTGCTGCCTGTGTTCGCACCACTGGTAACGCTGCTGGCGCTGCTGACAGGAGTTACAGTGCCGTCGCTGTCAGTGGAATACCAGGGGAAGCCGCTGCTGATGCTGCTTGCGATGCTGCTCAGGCTGAAACTGCTACTCCTCCTCCGCGCCCTATTCTCCCTCCCTTTTCCACTCCCCTTACCACTCCCGTTACCACTCCCTTTACCACTCCTCTGTTCACTCCACTGTTCACTCCCCTCTTCTTCCCCTTCTTCCCCTTCATCCCCTTCCTCCCCCTCAGCATCACCCATCTCGCCCTCCAGCCCTCCTCCCGTCTTCCCGCTGCCATTCCCGCTACTACTGCCATTCCCACTGCTAATACTCCGCCTAAGCCGCCGCGCCCACCGTCCCCCGAGGCTGCCGCTGATGCTGGTTCGAATACTGCTGGCCAAAGAGAGGCTGCTTCGGGTAGTCGAGCTGCGCCTTGAATTCCGTTCTGCCCGACACTCCTCCTGCTGGGGAACCGAGTTTTGGTTCGACTCCGAAATCTCCTTCTGGAGTACCTCCGCTTGCGCTGCCGCGGCCTTTCTCTCTCTCCTCTCTTCCCTCCGCGCCCTCCTCTCCATCTGCTCGTCACTCCTCTCCGTTCCCTCCGTCCCTTCCCTCTCTGCGGCAGCACTGGCCGGCACACCATTCTCTAAAGCAGCAGCAGCAGCAGCAGCAGCAGCAGCAGGCAGAATGGGCCCGTCTCGAGACGCCGTTCTCTGTACCCTGCTGACCAGCACACCCCTCTGTGCTGTGCTGGCCGGGTGCATTGAGCTGTGATTTTCGCCTGCTGTGCTGCCGGCGGCGCCGCTGCTGCCCACTCCTACAGCACTGCTTCCACTGCTGCTCTTACTCGCAGCATCGCTGTCTCCCACAATGTGTGAATTGGCCGCACGCGCCTTCATGCTGCCAGTGCCAGCACGGATGTTCATACCCATGCTCCCGCAACGCTGCTCCACCAACCCACCTCCCTGCACAACCACCTTAGAATACACCTTCAGGCTGCCAGTGCCCGCCCGCTGATCCATGACCCCTGCCCCCTGCTCCACCGCCCGAGCCCCCTGCTCCACCACCCCAGCCTCCTGCTCCACCACCTTAACATACGCCTTCGTGCTGCCAGTGCCCGCACCGACATTCATGCCCCCAGCGCGCGCCTTCATGCTGCCAGCGCCAGCACGGCTGCGCACAACAGCGGCGTAGAGCCCGATGAAATCGTCGTCCGAGTCGCTCGACTCACCGTCGCCACCACCGCTGCCCACGCTGCATTCCCCCACCAACTGCTGCTGCCCCTTGTGCTGCTTCGCCTCCTCCTCCTCCGTGTGCTTCAGCGCAAGGTTGCTGCGCCTGCAGCCGTGAGAAGGCGAGGTGCTGGAAGGGGAGGAAGCCGTTTGACCTGTTTGACTTGCTTGACTCGTTTGACCTGTCAGATCAAGAGGCGTCAGGCGACCCGGGTGAGTGGTGTGACTCAGTTGACCCAGTTGACCCAGGTGAGTGGTGTTGCCATGCAATGCAGCAGAATGCGAGTGGGTTTTTCGGTGCCCTTTCGCGGATAACGAAACGGTTTGACCCAGTTGACCCGTTTTCCCTGGGATCTCGAGATGAGGCAGGTACCTAGTGAGACTGCCATGACCGGGGTGACTGGGGTGGGAGTGCAGTGCAGCTGAGTGCGGTGCAGCGGAGTGAGATCTCTTGTGGGTCGGTAGCTGCTGCTTCCGGGCTGAGCCGCTGCCTTGGCGCGCAGGGGGAGGGAGAGATGCGCCGTGCCGGTCGTCCCTCAAAGGGGCAGCATGCGGGACATGCGGAGAAGCACCAGATCCGTGGTGAGCGGTAGAAGAGGCAGAATGAGGGGCATGCAGCGCAACAGCAGCAGCAGCAGGGCTGCACGGGTCGCCCCACTGGCAAGCGCGCTGGCCGCTGCTGCCGATGCTGCTGCTGGTCATCACAACAGGGTATCGATGCCCGGTGCTGCTGCTGCGATAGATCGCTATATCTTCCGTGGCCTGTCCGTGAGAAGAAGTGTCCGTCGCAACGCTGTCGCACTCCCAGTTATTGTCCCACGCGGTGTCGTTCGCATCGCACGCATAGCTCGCATCGAACGGGTCGGTTAGTTCGTGAGACGACCGCGGTGCATACGTGGCGGCGCCCCATTCGTCCAGATCCACTGACGCGAATCGCCTGGACCAGCCAGGTTCGGAGGCCGGGGATCGTACGGATCTTCCCGAACCTCCGAACCGCAGTCCCCAAGCCGCATCATCTGAATCCTCCTTTTGGCATTTTGGCACCACGGATATTGGAGGCGACTTTGACGCGTACATGCTCTTGCTCCGGCTGATCGAGCTGCTAGTAACGAAACTGCTACTACCGGGGCTGATCCTGCCTGAAGCGGGTCCACGTGGGCTCCTTCTCAACACGCCACGTGGCGACGATGCGCTGGCAGGTGAAGGCGGCGGTAGGGGCGCAACGACACTCCTAGCAGCGGCGCCACTTCCGTATCGCGGGCTGTCCTGTCCGAACTGACGGATCTGATTGCTCTCTGGAAGGATGTGACTGTACTGAGGGCTGCCACGAGAAATGTGACTGTGACTGTCAGCAGGGCTGCCACCCCCCTTAACGGGGCTTCCGCTTCCCCCTCCTGCAGCAGCAACAGCAGCAGCAGCAGCAGCAGCCCAAGCCGCGGCGGGAGCAGTGTGGGGATACATCACCATGGGAGGTGCCACGTCAGCACCACCAGGAGGGCTTGGATGTATCCTGAACTGCCGACTGCTCTTGCTGCCGCCGCGAGGAGCAGCGCGTACAGGCGAGCCCAGATCCGAGTTGCTGCTGACGTGGCTGCTGATGTGACTGTTGGAACAAATGACGCCGCTTTGGGTCCTGCGGTGGTGCAGACGAACGCTCTTCGAAGCTTCCGAGTCAAGAATCTGCAGGCTCCGCGGAGATCCCGCTGCCAGCGTGGCGGCTGCTGGAGACCGCCGCGGGCTCTCCACGTGGATGGAGAGCTGCCTCGACTCGCGCCGCTGCGTCCCCTTCCGCTCGTTCCGCAATGCCGCCCCGAATCCGGCGGCGCTACTGCTCTCCGCCGCCGCCGCCGGTGCCGCCGCCGGTGCCGGTGCAGGAGGCGCGTCGCGGCTGCTGACGCGGCGAACAAGGTCTGGAATTATCACTCTTGGCGTCGGAGCCGCCGCGGATTCGGAGAATACTAAGAGCGTTTCCGCCATGGCAGCAGCAGCAGCAGCAGCAGCAGCAGCAGTCTAGTCCGACGCACACCGGGTAACAGTCCCGTACCTTGATAGATACTCAGCGGCTCGTGAAGCAATACCTCCAACTACTCAAACTCGTTCTAATGATATCAGTCGTTCGCCGTAAGTACGAAGGAGATCCAGTAACAGTGAAGAGAGGCTCGTCTTGAGGAGATCAACTATGTCAGTCTAAGAGGGTAGCTCGCGACTCGCCGATTATCCACTGAAAGGGCCGACGGTACAGCTCTCGGCGAGCTACCGTAGTGAGTGAGGCACTAGCGGGGATGAGCCGCCTGCATTGCTCCGTAAGAATCCCTTTCGTATGGTAGCAGAAACGATGGTACTTGAAAGCCGGTCACAGCAACTTAATAACCTCTTCCAACTCTAGTCCGAACCAAACCGAGCGGGAGAAGAAATCTGGTCTCAGTCGGAAGGGACACTCTTACTAGAGTCGGAGTATATTCTATGCTGGAAACTCTCGCCAGATAGTCTGACCAGAGGGAGGTGCCTTAGTAGCTGGGAGTTTTGGCGAATGAGGCGCTGTGACGCGGTGAGCCAGGAAGGCGCGAACGGTAAGAACTTCTTTGGCAGCAAAGCAGCAGCGACGGCCATGGATTTTTTGTTCCGCGAGCTGGCGGATCGACACTGCTTCCGGAATACTCGGGCTGAATCCCAGACGAGATCATACATGTACAGTGTACGTGAATCAGAGTTCCAAGCCAAAGAGGTGAACCTGAGACTTCGTGCACGAGCGGCGAGAGGTACCGCGAGCAAGCATACACCATCGTCCATCCATTTTCCAAGGTCCGTGTGTCTGACATTACAGTAGAAGCAGCGCTCCGTTTGAGGTCACCCATTAATGGTGCCGATCGTTTGCGAAACAGATGACGGCAAGACGACACCAGATGCTGTCGGAACATCTCGAGCCGCATAAGCTTACCGACAACCTGGATACAGTACTTGTGAAGCGCTGGTTGATCCGTACGTACTATGCGACGATCATGAATAACAACTGGACTAGCTGGCGAAGAGCCTTTTCCAGGATGCATGACCACATAGCCCGTGTCATTTTTCGGTTAGGAAGCGAACATGTCGGTTCTCTTCGACGTGCCTATCTCGAACGAGAAAGATATGCTTGCTCTGAGACTGTACAAGCTGATCTGGCTGCCAAGTTGGAGGGTACATTTTTAGGCTCAGTTTTCAGAGCCTACTATTGTGAGGGAATGACGGACCGCCCTGGTTTCGGGTTTCCGATTCCTTTCGGCAGTGGTTTTGACACCGCCTTGCTTCGCGCTCGAGTCCGATACCTTCGGTCAGTTATTTACGCTATTGCCCCTTTTCGAGTCCAGAGACTAATATTGTGTTTATTTATCGAGATATCATAAATTGAATTGTCGCGTAAATTCCGAGAAGCTCGGGACAAAAAATATATACCCCTCTTGGAGGGCATGCCATTTGGGAGGCATCAACCCTAAACACCATGAGGCAAGGTGTTTAGGGTTGATGCCTCCCAAATGGCCAGCCATCCGAGAGGGGTTTATTTTTTCCACTGGCCACTAAACTAAAACCAGGTAAACTTCAGAATTTTCCTGGTCACAGGAAATTGGAAATGTCGAAATCAGCTGCCCCAAGGAGTCGGAAGCGAGCGGAGAAGCAAGGCGGTGTCAAAGCCACTGCCCAAAGGAATCGGAAACTTGAAAACGGGGCGATCCGTCATTTCCTCCTACTATTGTACTCCACAGTGTCCGAGGTGCGTAAAAGCTGGTTGAGGCGAACTGAGGGTGATCAGAACTGAGGTGGGATTCGATCCTACGACGACAGAACGGAAAAAATGAGATGGAGTTCTGATCTGGATGGCGAGTGGCGAGCGAGGCAAGCTCCCCCGACGGCGACAGCGGACACTGTGGGGTAATACTTTCCGTTCTGAGCTCGTTTGACGCGGTTGAATACGTTAAATAACGTTTGGGATCGGTACACACACACACACCCACGCACGCACGCACGCACGCACGCACGCACGCACGCACGCACGCACGCACGCACGCACGCACGCACGCACGCACGCACGCACGCACGCACGCACGCACGCACGCACGCACGCACGCACGCACGCACGCACGCACGCACGCACGCACGCACGCACGCACGCACGCACGCACGCACGCACGCACGCACGCACGCACGCACGCACGCACACACATACACATACACACACACACACACACACTACACACACACACACCACTGTACAGAAACAGCAGCAGCAGTACAGGCAGGAAGGGAACAACCACACTTCTGCAGCAAGAAGGTGAATGCCATGTGCCACAATACAGATCAGTGCGATACAGTACACGAGCTACATGAAGGTTGGTCGAGGTGGTACAGTACAGTAATTTACAGCGCTTGCACAGAAAGCATAATTCTTGCAGAAAGTACCTTAGAAAGTACTCCAGATGTGCCAGAGCGCCGATTAAAACAAACTATTCAACTACAGTAAGAAATAGGCTGTATGAAAATGCATTTCCGTCATTTTAGGGTTGGCTGGAAAGCAACAACGGGTGCCGCCAAGTGTATGTACACCACGTACAGTACATGATCATCGGGCAAGTTCCAGAGTGGCAATTGGTTTGCGTGCACAACGCAGCACCATTCGATGACGTGTCAAGCAATGGTGGGATGCTGCTCGAAGCCAATATCCTGCTTCGGTCAAGGCTCGGCTATGTTATGTGCTTCGTTCGTGCCTTGCCTACATCCTCACTATTGTGTGCCTTCTGCTTTGCCGCATTTGCCTCAATATCAGAGATCTCGTTCTCTGGAAAGCAGCGATTCAATCCACATGATAGCTCAAAACATAACTCAAAACAATAAACGGATGGCTGAGTAAAACGGATATGCGAGGTCGCTATCAACGCGGATCCGTTCAACGGGCAAACCTGCTCCAGATCGGGACACCTCCCTCGGTTTAGATAGACTTGAAACTCCTTCCCTCCACCTCAGCTCCCTGCTTATAAGGGCGTGTCTTGAAGGGTGTAGTTTGGCCATCACACAATTTTTATGTAATTCTGATTGTTCACAAAACTGCTGCCCGCACGTACAAAAAAACTGTTCCGTGTCCGCCTGACGCGAATCAACTTTCTGCACGCGGAAAAACAGTCCTGCCCCTGTGAAAACCGAATCTAGTTCAAGTTTGACCGCACGGTCGCGAGCGGTAACAATGCCGCCCTACGAAGTCCGTGTAAAATTCGGCGGCTCAAGATTGTTTGTGAGGTTCGTTATTTTCGCCTGGGTTGGTTTCGCGAATGTCGAAATTGGGGTAACACATACTGCAAACCCCGAAATGTACCTGTACGTGTTATGTACTAGTGTGCATGGTACGTGCGGCTCACGAACTTGGACACGTAAAAAAAACGTATGCCAGAAAGGAGTCGGGGGGCGCCTGTCTGGTTGGTAAGGTATTGCAATTGTAACAGGGTGTTATCGGGTAACAGTACCTAGAAATGAATGTACTTTCAAGGAGCAAGACACGCCCTGACAGCGTTTGCTGGTTTTATCTTCTGTTGTTTCTACTAGCGCCTAGGATGTCAGGAGAGCAAGACTAACAAGCAGCATCAATTGCCTTGCCTGCGACCTTCTCCGCTTAGTCGTCTATTCGCGGATGCTTTAACTCGGAGCAACGTGCCACTCTGTATCCCAATGGCAACCTTACGGACCGCAACTTTTGCCACGTGGCGACCGGAGGACATCTACAGGTCACCCATTACCGTTCGCTTTGCCCCGAAACCGTCCGTCCAGCCGCTTTTCCCAACTGGCCGTGCAACAGCGTTGAAACTAACGAGCCGTCTCCGCAATCCCCGCGGCGTGGTCACAATAGCCGGATTACGCCGGCCTGGTATATATATTAGGTCACCACGAAATAGCCAGCAGTTATATCCCGGCTATTTATCCCCACGCTTTTCACGACATTCGCCAAGATTTCTCCGGCGAACCGGCAGTTCCCGCCTAAACGACGGGAAGAAATCGCGGCCGTTGGTGATCCAAGCGACGGCCGGTGGACCGTCGGATTTCAGCGGCTCCGATGT